GCCCCCCAGTAAAATGTGCTGAATGAAGTTGGTACCTTGAGATCTCTATGAATGATGGGCGGCTTTTGTTTATGCATGTGCTGCACTGCTCTGCACGTCTGATAGAATATCTTCAGAACCGTATCACATGATAGAGGACCTTTAGATTCAATTTTCTTTAAAAATTCCACCAGCTGCCCTAAAAGAGACAATTAAATTCATATCACCATGGAGCTATAAATGCTGAGACCTCCCTGGCCAGCAGGCTAAGGTTCAAGCTCAGCTGCCTTGGCCACGGGTACAAATGCTGCCTCTTCTGAGAGCACAGTCTGGGTGCAAGCCCCACCACCCACCCAGGGTGCTGCTTCCAGCCCTTCTCAGCTGCCGCAGGATGGTGTACAGGTACAGTGCTCACAGTAGCCCTGTTTGTAGGACCAGCACCCAGGGGCAAGCATGGTGGCAAGAGCTGGCGTGGAGCAGCCCTGGGACAGCACAATAAGCAAAAGCAATCAAAGTACAGAACCCTAAGTAAAAGAAAACACCTGCTGTGGTTAAGAGAGGACGTACAAACACCCACGTACACAGATGAAATCATTACAAACTGCTTACTGACACCTGAATCAGGATAAATATGTGGTTAATGAGAACTGCAAAAAGAAACTACAAATATATAAATATCTCAAATATCTCTAGTGAAATAATCACTAAATTTCCTTAGATGAAAAAATGACTTTCATGTTAACATGTGATCTTAGTAGCTATGTATGCAACACAGAATATGCAAACCGTAATGAGACTGTGGGGTACAAAGCTGCTGCCCTTGGTGGGCACCCACATCACAGATGAGTCCTTTCCAGTTCTGCAGCCTAGGGATCCCCAGACTTACTAGATCTGGCCTCATCTAGGTAATCTCTGGCACCTGAGGCCTGGCCAGCTGGCACCACCAAACACAGGGCGGAGGTGCTTAGAGGTCGGGTCTATCTGAGGACCCCCATGTTCACACCAATGACAGCCCAGCATGCTCCCATGTAGCCTCCCAGGTTGCCCAGACTTAAGCTGCAACCTCCTGCAAGGCTTCCCTGGAGCCTCTTCACTTTTCCTGGAGCCCTTAAACCCAATGTGCCAGTCCAGTATGGGACCCCGCCCTCCCAGGCCCTATGCTCTGGCCATCTACACTCCACAGTCGCCATGACCCTCTGTTCAGCGACTCCATGTCATCAACAGCTGGCCATGATCACAGTCCACAGCCTCCTCTCTGTGACCTTCTCCCCGACCCCACTTGCTCTCTGCCCCAGCTACACCAGCCCTTCTGTCCCTGCCTTTACACATGCTGCTCCCTTACCACGTGGCTTTTTACACAGGCTGCTCCCTTGCCACGTGGCTTCTCACCCTCACCTCCTTCAGCCTCTGGCTCAAATAACAGCTTACAAGGGAGCCATCTCTGTCCACACTATCTAAATATTTATCTCTTCCCTGGATTCATTTTCTCTTCAGCATTTCTAACTACCCAGCCCTGGGCTCTGACTTAGGCAGGAGTCAATCTGCTCTACTAGCCTAATTCGCTGAACCCCTAAAGCCTACACATGGCAAGGCCAACATGCATGTTTCAGAATGTAGTGGATGTTAGATTCTAACTGCTCTGCGGGGCAACTTCCATAACCTATGCCTTTACAACTTTTAAAACAAAGGGAATTTACATATTATAAATCTCACTATAGCTCACATGGTGGACCATGCTATAACTGGACTTACAAAAAAAAGTCACACGTTCATGCCACCAGCACAGCCCAGGCACTCTGCCCCGGCTCCTTAAGAGTCTGTGCTGGCTCTAAGGAATCCAGACTCTTCTGACTAGACCACCCTCCTCTGCTCTCCCATGCCCAGAATGACTTTAGCCCATGCCTGCCAGTCCCATCCTGGCCATCAACCCCAGGTGGACCAGGCCTTTCCCAGAACCCCCAACCACAGCTACCTCATAGGCTTCACTCCCAATCCTCAGAGGCCGGAGGGACTCTCAGGAGGAATGGAACACTCACAGATATGGGGGTCCTAAGGAGAAACAGAGGCACCCTTGAGAGAAACAGAGATGCCTCAGGAGAAATACGAGGCCCTCAGGAAGAGAACAATAGGCCCAGGTGAGTTGAGAGGAGGCTCCAGGGAGCCAAAGCAGTGCTGATCAGACCTGGCTTAGGTATGGCGTGGGTATGGGGAGCAGGATCCACAACAGGACGAGTCACAGGTCAATGACATTAGGGCATCAGAAGAAACCTGCCTGAGAGAAGAGTCTACAGCACATCCAGGGAGCCCCCTTTCAAGGCTGCCTTTGGCAGACTCCAAACCTGTTGCTGTATGGGTCCCCACATGTCCCCAGCTTCTCAAAGATCCCACAATTTCTGCACACAGGGCTGGCGCCCACCCACAAACACCCCGGCTCTCAGCTCTCTGGCCCTGCACCCACTCCTCTGCCACAGGGAAGTGGATGTTAGTAGTGGTCACAGCTTTGAATCACTGTGGGAAAGGCAAGGGCTCTGTGTGTCCCCCCTCCTTCCTACACTCCTGCCACATCTTCAACCATACCACCTTGGGAAAGTGCTGAGTCCCATCAGTTTCATTTCTCATAACGACTCAGTCCAAACTTCTTTTTTTTTTTGAGAGGTTTTTGCTATAGGGCACATGTGCTCACCAGACAGACAGACAGAGACAGAGAGACAGCGAAAAATCCCCCCCCGGGGGGATGGCCACGCCACAATCCCTTCTCCTCCGTTCTCCTCTCAGGATCTTGGGCATGCACGCACACGCACCCGGCATGAGTTTTAAGCCACCGGGTCTGGGACGTGAACTGTGGTCGACTATGTGGGAGTCCAGTGACATAGCCATTACGCTAACTGCTGGTCCCTCAGCCCAAACTTCTAAAACCAATATTTCACCATGCAGAAGCTTTCTGATACCCCAAATAATGAACAAGAGAGACAATAAACAAACCAGTCTCATCTCCAACAACCAGGAAAAATAGACTGGAAAAAACAAACAGGAAAAGCCTTGTCTGGCCTTTCTCCAAGTTACCCAAAATGGACAGGGATGGGGCCCTGTCGGAATTGCAAACATACACTGTCTGACATGAGCAGCCCCCTAGATATCTCTCCCTCCAAAGAACCAAGGCTCACACAGTAGACATGGTGCAGTCCCAGGCAACAAAACTCAAGTTCCTATAGGCAAGAAGAGAAAAAATTTCATCAAAATTAAGGAAATTTTGTATCCTTTAAGATAAAGTAAAGGGTGGGCTGGCCCCACAGCCTAGTGGGTTAACAGAGCCAGATCCCACCTGGTCAACTGCAGTTCAAATCTTGGCCCCAGAGACTTGAGGACCACACAGCATGTATGTGATTATGTGCCCCAAATCCCAACAGGATGGAGAAATGGAAGACAAGGGTTTGCAATGAGACCAAGCCCCACTGGAGGGTGCTTTCTCTCTCATACTCTCTCTGGGGAGCAAATACAATCTTAGGCAATTTTTTTTTTAAAGAATTATTTTATTTGGGGACCAGCAGTTAGTGTAATGGCTATGTAGCTGGACTCCCACGTAGTTGACCGCAGTTCGTGTCCTGGACCCGGTGGCTTAAACTCACACCAGGCATGTGTGCGTGCATGCCCAAGATCCCGAGAGGAGAATGGAGGAGAAGGGATTGCAGCGTGGCCACCCCCCTGGGGGGTGATTTCTCGCTTTCTGTCTCTCTGTCTCTCTCTGTCTGTTTGGCGAGCGCACGCGCCCTGTAGCAAAAAACCTCTCCAAAAAAAAATTATTATTATTTTATTTAACTTTATTTATTTATTTATTCATTCATTCATTCATTCAAATTTGACTAGAGAGGGACAGAGCAAGAGAGGGAGAGGGAAAGTGAGAAAGCAAGCTACCAGGTCTGGGACTTGAACCATGGTTAGCCATGTGGGAATCCAGTGTCTTTAATTACCATGCCACCGGCCGGCCCCAATCTTAGGCAATTTTTAAAAAATAAAAAAGGAGTAAGGGTAATGTACTGGCATGGAAAGATGTCCAAGATTTCTTTTTTTTAAAAGGAAAAGTGTGCCTAGTAAAATCCCATTTTGGGGACCAGCAGTTGGCATAATGGCTATGTCACTGGACTCCCATGTAGTCGACCACGATTTGAGTCCCGGACCCGGTGGCTTAAACTCATGCCCGGCATGTGTGCGTGCGTGCCCAAGATCTTGAGAGGAGAATGGAGGAGAAGGGATTGTGATATGGCCATCCCCCCTGAGGGGGTGATTTCTTGCTTTCTGTCTCTGTCTTTCTGGCAAGCACATGAACCCTATAGCAAAAACCACTCAAAGAAAAAAAAAATCCCATTTTGATAAGCATGTATTCAACTCTGTGTTGTCTGTATTTTCAATGAGCACACATTCTTTTTTAACTAAAAATAACAATAATAACAACACTCATGAAGTGGAAGACTCCTCAGCATTAGACGTAAGCTAGATAAATCAGCTAAGTTGGCAGTTTCAGTGTTACTCTAGCTGTGAGAGGTCCTAGAGGCAGGGACAGTCTGGGAGTACTCAGATGCTGGTTTCCAGACTCATTCTCCACACAAAGAGCCTGGCCACCCAGAGTGTAATGAAAAACACTCAAGAGGACTCATAACCAATGACAACATAGGAACCAGACACAATTCTGCTGTAGGGGTAAGAACCTATTATGATGATATTTTGAGGACTACCGAAGACGGCGAACATGGACTGCGTATGATATGACATCATCAAGTCATGGCAGTTCTCTTAGACATGACAACAAGACTATGGTTATGGAGGAAATGCCCCGGCTCTCAGGAGATACATGGATACCAAAATTCCCAGTTTTGATGTGTGTAACTTATTTTTTACATGGTTCAGCAAGAATGTGCAAAGAGATAAAGCAGCTATGAGAAATGTGAAAAACTTGTGAATCTATAATAGTATGCAGTAAGTGGATGTCCACTCTACTTTCATATTTTCTATAGGGGTAAAATGTTGATAAACAGAACATACCACAGTTACTTGGCAACATTTCCTCAGCCCCCAGGTGACCAATGACCCTCTCCACCCACTGACCCAGGCAGATGCCTGCCTTATACAGTAGGATGACTGTGACACTAGATGCTGGAAGGAGTACTGCAGGGCCTGACCCAGTATGGTCACTACATGTGGATGGGTCAGGTGGGGGTTCTCTAGACAGAGGAGCAAGGGCAGAGGTCAGGGGACAGGAGGCAGCCAGTTCTCAGGACACTCAGCAGGGGACACAGCTGGGAGAGGAACATATGGGTTCCTACTAGTTAGGGGCCTCACATAGGCCACATCAGAGCACTCTGCCCTTCATTATCTACCTTTTGCCTATGGCACTGTAGAGACACTCACACACACACACACCTCACAGACACTGCATGGACCTGCCTTCAGCACAGGGATCCTCTCTCCCTACCCGGCATGGGACTCCGCTAGCTCACTCACTGCTACCACCTCTGAAAACATAATCCTGACCCTGTGGAGGTCCACTCAAGGACTCCAGTCCTCTCCTGCCTCTCCAGTACCTGATCTAGGGGGGTCTGTGCCCACTCCAACTCTTCTCATAGTCACTGAGGAGGGACTGACTTGTGGGCTGCACATACCCTCCCCACTAGGCCTCCTCCACAGGGCTCCCTGCCTCAGTCTCCCCCTGCTGATAGCCTCACCTCACTGCCCAGGTGACTGACACAGCAATTGCTTGTGTCACTGCCCTTCACCAGCACATGGCCTCTAGGCCTATCTTCTGTGCAGGCTGGGCCCTCTAATTAGAAGGCTTTTCCTACAAATGTCTCCTTACAAGGGAGTTCCCCGGCCACCAGGTGTTGCACAAATGAGATTGGGCTCTGGAGAGCAGAAGCACGACGCAGACTTTCTGGCAGATGCTTGGAGGTGAACGAACCTCTCCCCCTACAGCAGACAAAGCCCAGAGCTTAGCAGAGCCAGCCCTGCCTTGTACCAGTCAGCACCAAGTATGGACATTCATGCGGACCACTATGCCCTACGATTTTCTGAAAGATGCCTCTTCAATCCCTGAATTGCCAATGGACCAAGGAGTCCTCCTGCATCTTGTGCAGCCTGACACTGATACACATGCCAGCCAGCTGAGCAGCCAGGCAGCTGCCCACCCACTACTTCCCACTGCCCTAGTGCACATCACAGAGCCATGAGGAGAGCTAACACCTCCTCCATCTCTGTTCCATGGCCCTGTCCTGTCACTGAAGACAGATGTGAAGAGATCCTTGCTCTCCTGGAGGCTGCAGCCCTGGGACTAAGATGGCAGACAAGACCAGCCCTTATGATGGGAACCTCTAAGGAAGTAAATGCACACCACTTGGAGAACTTCTGCGATACATCTGTCCTGTTCTTCCTGTTAGGACCATTGTACTCATCTTGGAAGAAGACATTGAATACTGTACAACTGTTCAGACTCAAAGGAATGTTACCTCTGCAGAGCTCCGTGAGCAGGAGGAACTCTGCCTGCCCAGTGTCTGACTCCTCCTTTCCTATCGAGGCTGCGGAACAAAACTGCACGATATTGGGGTGGCCAGAAAGTTTTTTCTGTGGATGTCTTGTTAAAGAAGAATGTGCATAACCTCGTCCACAATTCTGTGCACTTAAAATAAGCATACATAGGGCCCAACCATAGTGGCATGATTGAGAGGGTACTGCTGAGTAGTGGTTGAGGCCACGTGTGGGCCCTGATTCAGTTCTCAGCCCAAGCTGAACAGGCTAGGTATGGTGGTCATGCCTGTGATCCTAGTCAAGTGGGAGGCTGGGGTGGTGAGGTCTTGACATAGCCAGACCCTAACAAAAGCGTTTCTCTCCCTCCTTTTCTCCTTCCCTTTCCAGAGAAAGAGGTACATTCTCTCTCAGAAAATAAGTATATGTATAACAAGACTCTAAAGTCACAATGCTTGAACTGAATCACCTTACAACTTTAGCCCATGAGAGCGGAAAGATGAAGGAGAGAGCACGGGGGGACAAAGAGAAAGGAAAAGGACACAGTGAAGAGAGGAAATAGTGGTTTAGAGACCAGCGTCAGGCTGGCCACACACGGCTGACCACAATAACACCAGAGTCTGTCCTGTTCCAGGTGGGAGCAGGTGGAGGACTCAGGAGGCTTTGGAGCAGAAAGACTGTAAGCAAGGACCACATCTGCCGAGACCTCAGCTCGGACAGTCAATGCGCTCCACAAGTAGTCAGAGCTTAAAGAAAAAAGTAGGTGCTGCGAGCAGGATAGGGCAAGGCCTCACACAGGGAGCACAGGTGAAGCAGAGGAGAATCACCAAAAAGCTGCATAAACCCCATCAGTGCAGGGAGACCCAACACCTCACCACCTGAGCAGACATGCAAGGATGGCTGATGAAGAGAAGCCACATCAAGACCTGCTGGAACCACAGCCCTCAGCAGGTCTTTAGAGGGACAGACGGAGGGACGGAGGGCTTCCCCTCAGTAACTGGCCCATCCCCTGGGTATGGAGACCTCTTGGGTAGGAAAAACACTCCACTCCCAACACTTAAACCTTTCACTATATCCCCAGAAGGGAAGAGAGGAAAATGCCTTTTGACTAGAAATAGTCTATAGATAAGCTCAGTAAAAGCAAAAGGCCAATTTTAACACATCAATCAATATCACAGAGTAGCCTCATGGAAGCAGGCGGCTATAGCCTCATGCAGGCCTTTGCCTCCCTGGGTGACAGCACTGGCTCAAGTCCTGGGAAAAGGATACCATGAAACAAACTTCTTGAATGATGGCTCTGTTCTTTTCCTCTTCATTGGATAATAATCTCTGTATTAGAAAACAGCACACAAAAAAGATTAAAGTTTAGTTACTTTCCCGCATTATGTAATGTCTTATCTGTCATAAACATTTATAAAAACAAATGCAAACTGTCTGAGAGTGTAACCTGTTTCACTGTACTTTAACATTCAACATTTAACATTTGCACCTGACAAGTTGTTAAAGATCCTTCAAAGATTATGACCCAAGGACTCATGAAATAAAACTAAGAACTCTCCAAAAAAGCCAGAGTAAAATAAGAAAATGAGAGTAGATGCTTAGCAGAGACACAGGTATAAATAGTGGCTCACAAATACCAGGCCCACTCTCAGCCCACCTGCAAATGCAGGGCCACTTTGGGAACTCAGCATGGTGCAGCTATACCTCTCAACCTCCAGCATGCTGGACCTTCTGATGTGCCTCAGGTCAAACCAGAATGACCTGATCTGGTACCCATATGAGACAGCCCCCCTCCATGCACTGTCACAGTTGACCTTATTTATAGATATGCCGTGGGCACTGTTTTCTTGGCACATGGAAGCCAAGAGGCTGGGACTCCACCATGAAGTCACCTTCACAACTTACTCCAAGGCAACCCAGCTCCCACAGCACAGGAAACAGGCCCCAAGGGTTTAAGTTATGACCTGAGAACACAGTATGTACAACTGCTGAGGGTTTCACAATCAAAGAAAACAAATAGGACAAACAGATACAGATTGTTAAAAAAATAAATAAACAACAGAGTTAACTCCCTGAAAACAATGTCACTCAGAGATTTCCTTCACAATAAATCAAAACTCCACATTAAAATATTTATTACATCATGGGACCAGCAGATGGTGTAATGGTTACATCACTGGACTCCCACGTGGCCAACCGCATTTCAAGTCCTGGATGCAGCAGCTTGAAACTCATGCTGAGCATGTGCACATCTGTGCCCAAAATCCTGAGAGGAGAATGGGGAGAAGGGACTGAGGTGTTGCCATCCCCCAGGGAGTGATTCCTCCCTTTTTGTCTCTTTGGTGAGTGCACGTGCCCTATAGGAAACATCTCTCTCTAAAAAAAAAAAAACTTAAGTCAAGTTTGGTTACTTACCTTTAATGCATACTCTCTGCCACTTCCCAGATCTTGAGCTTCATATACAAAAGCAAACCCTCCTGAAAAAATTTTTAAATAACTATCAGTTCAGAGCTATAATTTTATTTATCATATTAAGCTTTAAAAATACCTTTACTAAGTAAAATACTGGACCTGTGGTTGTGGCCAGCAATTTGTTTTCCACAATATATAACGGCCCCAATTTACGCCTTTTACATGATCTGCTTCAGAGACAGGAAGAAAATAAATCTGAGAAGAGAGATCAATGAAAGGAAAACAAACAAACAAACAAACAAACAAAGAAAATCAACAAAATCAAAAGCCAGTCCTCTGAAAATAAATAAATGAAACTGATAAATTCTAGATAAATTGATTTTTTAAGAAAAAGAGAGAGATTGCTATAAAGAGGACAATTAATAATATCTAGAATAAGGGACATCACTGTCATGATGTCCAAGAAAAAAAGTACAGATAAGCATCATTCATGAATATGGATCATTCATTAAACATTCTTAGTTCTAATTAACTAAAATATTAGCAAATCAAGTCCAACAGCACATAGAAAGGATAATATACTACAACTAAGTAGAGTTGGTGTAACATTTGAAAAGTAGGACCAGCCGGCTGGCATGGTTGTTAGAGCAGTTGGATCCCACAGTCAACTGTGCCATTAGAGTCTCAGACCCAGCAGCAGAAGGAACAGGGTGGGCATGTGTACATGTGTGCCCAAAATCCCAAGAGGAGAATGGAGGAGGAGAGATTGTGGCATGGTTGTCCCCACTGTAAGGAGCTTTCTTACTTTCCCTCTCTTGCTCTTTCTCTGTCTCTCTTCAGTGATTACATGTACCCTATAGCAAATTTTAAATAAATAAACAAATATCAATTTAATTATATTGCTTTTAGGTCTAATTTGCTTAGCTTTTATTAGCTTTCTGTAGTTAAGAAAATGAGAGTAGATGCTTAGCAGAGACACAGGTATAAATAGTGGCTCACAAATACCAGGCCCACTCTCAGCCCACCTGCAAATGCAGGGCCACTTTGGGAACTCAGCATGGTGCAGCTATACCTCTCAACCTCCAGCATGCTGGACCTTCTGATGTGCCTCAGGTCAAACCAGAATGACCTGATCTGGTACCCATATGAGACAGCCCCCCTCCATGCACTGTCACAGTTGACCTTATTTATAGATATGCCGTGGGCACTGTTTTCTTGGCACATGGAAGCCAAGAGGCTGGGACTCCACCATGAAGTCACCTTCACAACTTACTCCAAGGCAACCCAGCTCCCACAGCACAGGAAACAGGCCCCAAGGGTTTAAGTTATGACCTGAGAACACAGTATGTACAACTGCTGAGGGTTTCACAATCAAAGAAAACAAATAGGACAAACAGATACAGATTGTTAAAAAAATAAATAAACAACAGAGTTAACTCCCTGAAAACAATGTCACTCAGAGATTTCCTTCACAATAAATCAAAACTCCACATTAAAATATTTATTACATCATGGGACCAGCAGATGGTGTAATGGTTACATCACTGGACTCCCACGTGGCCAACCGCATTTCAAGTCCTGGATGCAGCAGCTTGAAACTCATGCTGAGCATGTGCACATCTGTGCCCAAAATCCTGAGAGGAGAATGGGGAGAAGGGACTGAGGTGTTGCCATCCCCCAGGGAGTGATTCCTCCCTTTTTGTCTCTTTGGTGAGTGCACGTGCCCTATAGGAAACATCTCTCTCTAAAAAAAAAAAAACTTAAGTCAAGTTTGGTTACTTACCTTTAATGCATACTCTCTGCCACTTCCCAGATCTTGAGCTTCATATACAAAAGCAAACCCTCCTGAAAAAATTTTTAAATAACTATCAGTTCAGAGCTATAATTTTATTTATCATATTAAGCTTTAAAAATACCTTTACTAAGTAAAATACTGGACCTGTGGTTGTGGCCAGCAATTTGTTTTCCACAATATATAACGGCCCCAACTTACGCCTTTTACATGATCTGCTTCAGAGACAGGAAGAAAATAAATCTGAGAAGAGAGATCAATGAAAGGAAAACAAACAAACAAACAAACAAACAAAGAAAATCAACAAAATCAAAAGCCAGTCCTCTGAAAATAAATAAATGAAACTGATAAATTCTAGATAAATTGATTTTTTAAGAAAAAGAGAGAGATTGCTATAAAGAGGACAATTAATAATATCTAGAATAAGGGACATCACTGTCATGATGTCCAAGAAAAAAAGTACAGATAAGCATCATTCATGAATATGGATCATTCATTAAACATTCTTAGTTCTAATTAACTAAAATATTAGCAAATCAAGTCCAACAGCACATAGAAAGGATAATATACTACAACTAAGTAGAGTTGGTGTAACATTTGAAAAGTAGGACCAGCCGGCTGGCATGGTTGTTAGAGCAGTTGGATCCCACAGTCAACTGTGCCATTAGAGTCTCAGACCCAGCAGCAGAAGGAACAGGGTGGGCATGTGTACATGTGTGCCCAAAATCCCAAGAGGAGAATGGAGGAGGAGAGATTGTGGCATGGTTGTCCCCACTGTAAGGAGCTTTCTTACTTTCCCTCTCTTGCTCTTTCTCTGTCTCTCTTCAGTGATTACATGTACCCTATAGCAAATTTTAAATAAATAAACAAATATCAATTTAATTATATTGCTTTTAGGTCTAATTTGCTTAGCTTTTATTAGCTTTCTGTAGTGGAAAAATTATATCATGAAATTTAAAAACTCTCAATAAACCAGGAATAGAAGAAAATGTCCTTACTCTGAGAAAGGGCATCTATGAAAGACCACCAGCAATGTTATATTTAATGGTGAAAAACTGAACATTCCCTTCTAAGATCAGGAATGAGGAAAGGATGTTTGTTCTGAACACAGATACTCAACATTGTCCTGGGAGTTCTAGTCCATGCAATCATACAAGAAAAAAATAAAAGGCATTCATACTGAAAGGGGTAAAGTAAAAATAGTTCTATTTGCAGAAGGCATGATCATCTACGTAGGAAATCTACCAAAAAAAAAAAAAAAAGCCTTCTATAAATAAACAAATTTGGGAAAGCTTTATCTTGTTAAGAGCAACATACAAGTATCAACTATGCTTCTACATTCCCTGGGGTGGACAGAGATCTCTTAAATATAAACACAAAAGTTGGCTCATGAAAGAAAAAAATAATAAAAAGACTTAAAATAAATAATTTCTACTTTTTGAAATACACTAGTCAAAGAATGAAAAGAAGCCATCATCTAGCTTGCACAAATTGCATACCTGATAAGGGGCTTCTACCTAGAAAATACAAAGAAAACCAAAACTCAATAATGATAACAAAAATTTCAATGAACAAAAGATGTAGATAGACACATTAGACACACGAATGACAAGCTCATGTCAAGATGTTCCATCATTATCCACTAGGGAAATGTATATTTAAACCACAAAGATACTATTAAATATTAGAACATCTAAAACTTTAAAAACTGATAAGATCAAGTCTTAATCAGGATGTGGAGCAACCGGAATGCTTATACACTGCTTTGGAAATGTAAAATGATATGACTACTTTGGAAAATATTTTGGCAATTGCGTAAAAAGTTGAACATGCATTGACTATACAGCCCTGGTATTACAATGTTGAGTATTTAGTATTTACTCAAGAAAAATAAAGCATATATCCATACCAAGACATCTACAGTACACAAACATTCAGAGCAGCGCCATCTACAAGAGCCCCAAATCAGAAATGACCCAAATGTCCACCAACAGGTAAATGGATAAACAAATTACTCATGTGGAACACTACTCAACAATAAGAAGGGTGAAGCTATTGTTACATGTGACAATACAGATGACTCAGAGTAATTATACTTTTAAAAGGTTAGACAAAAAAGTGCACATACATACAATTCCATTTATAGGAAACTCCAGAATAAATGTAAATTAATCTACAGTAACAGAAAGTGGATCAGTGGTTGCCTGGGAATGGGAACAGAAGCAGCAGAAGGAAAGGATTATAAAAGAGAAAAGAAATTTTGAGGGAATGAATATTTTCACTACCTTGATTACAGTGACAATTACATATGGGTATATACATACATAGTATACATACATACATGTGTCAAACACTAAATATGTGTAGTTTCTTTAGCTCATTTTTATACCAACACAGCTGTTTAAAAATTAAAAAGTAAATCTATGTGGGAAAAAAAAGATGAAAGGAAATATAGTAAGTGAAAATCAATGAGAATGAAAATAGAAATAGGGAACAGATGGCATCCCTGCTGAAATCTATCAAACATTTAAGGAAACAAAAATCACAACAATCTAATATGAAAGTCTTCCATGAGCTAGAAGAGCACAGTTCCTAGACCTATTTTGAGGTCAGCATAGGCAAAGCCAGAAAAAGACATAAATACAAAACCACAGAGCAAATACTCATCAACATAGACATAATGGATCCTCGATGAAATAACTAGCAAATTGATTTGGGCAAAACATAGTTAAGGATAATACAAAATGACCAAATGGGATGTATCCAAGGTATGGTTCAACATTTTAAAAATTACTGAGGGACCAGCAGATGGAGTAATGGCTATGTTGCTAAACTCCCACGTAGGCGACCGCTGTTCGAGTCCCGGATCTGGTGGCTTAAATTCACACCAGGCATGTGTATGTGCATGCCCAAGATCCCAAGAGGAGAATGGACAAGAAAGGATTGCAGAATGACCATCGGAGGGGAGGGGACCCCCCCCCGGGGGGGGGGGGCGATTTCTTACTTTCTATCTCTGTCTCCCTCTGTCTTTTTGGTGAGCACACGTACCCTATAGCAAAAACCTCTCCAAAAAAAAAAAAAATCTATTACTGAGGCCAGTAGGTGGTGTAGTAGTTAAGGAGTGGGACCCCCATATGGCTGATAAGGGTTCAAGTCCTGGACCTGGCAGCTTGCTTTCTCACTTTTTCTCTTTCTCTCTGGTAAAAAGAAAAATAATAATAAATAAATTAAATTAAATAATTATTTTTTAAAAAAGAACTACAAAAAAATTACTGTAGTACACAAAGTTAACAGAATAGGAACACTGTGTCCTTTCAATATTTACTGAGAAAGCTTATGTCAAATTACTCATGATTCTCTAAAAATTTAATTAAAAAAGTTATTTTTCATTTGCCAGAGGGCACATGCACTCACTGGAGACAGAGACAAAGTGAGAAAGCACTCCCCCATGGTCATCATACCACAATCCCTTCTCTTCCAGTTTTCTACTCTTTTGGGATTTGGGGCACATATGCCCAGTGTGTTTCTCAAGCGAGTAGCTCAGGACTAAAAACGACACGATTTGCCATGTGGGATTGAGATGCTTTAACCACCATGCCACTGAATGACCTCCCATTCATGATTTCTTAAAATAGTGATACAGGGAGGGACCAGCAGTTAGCGTAATGGATATGTTGCTGGACTCCCACATAGCCAACCGCAGTTCAAGTTCCAGACCCGGTGGCTTAAAACTAAGGCTGGGTGCATGTGCGTGCGTGCCCAAGATCCCTAGAGGAGAATGGAGGAGAAGGGATTGCAGCATGGCCATCCCCCCAGGGGGTGATTTCTCGTTTTCTCTCTCTCTGTCTCTCTCTGTCTGTGTGGTGAGCGCACACGCCCTATAGCAAAAACCTCCCCCCAAAATAAATAAAGATACAGGGATGGCCCCATAGGGCAGTGGTTAAGTACTCTGCATTGTGAGCTGAATCCCACATAGCTGACTACAATTCGAATCCTGGCCCTGGTGGCTTAAAAACTCTCCAGAGGCATGTATATGAGTGCCCAAAATCCTGACAGGAAGAGGAAATGAAGGGAAAAGGATTGTAGTGTGACCACACTCCACCAGGGAACACCTTCTCTCTCTGTCTCTCTCTCTTTCTCTCTGAATAACTGTGTGCACCCTCTGGCAATAAAATAAAACAAACAAATTCTCAGCAAACTAGAAATAGTTTCAGCAAGTACAAAAAAACAGCAGTTGGCATAATGGCTATGTCACTGGACTCCCATTTAGTAGACTGCAGTTTGAGTCCTGGACCCGGTAGCTTAAACTCACGCTGGGCGCGTGTGCATGCGTGCCCAACATCCCTAGAGGAGAATGAAGGAGAAGGGATTGTGGTATGGCCCCTCCCCCGGGGAGTGATTTACTTTCTGTCTCTGTTTCTCTCTGTCTTTCTGGAAAGCACATGTGCCCTATAACAAAAATCTCTCTCTCAAAAAAAATTTAAATTAAAAACTATGGAAACATCAAACTCAATTGTGTTTTTTCCCCTAACAGTAAGAACAAGGCAAGAATGTCTGCTCTTGGTACTGTTTATATTTTACTAAAGATTATAGTCAACTTAAGAAAGCTAGAAAAAGATCAGAGATGGAGAACAAAAGATATAAAATTCCAAATAAGAGAGCAGTAAGTCTAACAGATCTATTCTACAAAATGGTGACTATAGTGTGAGAACGCAGCTAACCACGGGTCAAGTCCTAGACCAGAGGCTTAAAAATCACATCAGGCTCTTGTGCACATATGCCCAAAATCCTGAGAATGAAAAATTGTGGTGTAGCCATCCCCCCAGGAGGTGCTTTCTCACTTCCCCTCTCTCTGTATCTCTCTCTCTCCAGCAAGTGCATGTGTCTTAAGGAAAACAACCTTAAAAAAAAAATACGGGGCCAGTGGGTGGTGTGGTGGTTAAGGGCACTGGATTCCCAGATGGCCAACAGTGGTTCGAGTCCTGGACCTGGAGGCTTGTTTTCTCACTTTCCCTCTCTCTCTCTCTCTGTCCCTCTCTGGTCAAATTAAAAG